CAGCAGGACCCGTGGAATTACACTCTTTACTCAGTTCTCTCATTAATCTTTCCATGAAGTTGTAAGATGAATGAGAGTATTTTTGGCTTAAAAAGGAAACAAACGCAAACAATATGCTTTTTCCAGAAGCCTTTTTCATTCCAAGTGAACATAAAGCAGATACTACTACTGTTTTCTAGAGTCTTTCTGTTATGAAAAAGTTTTGTTTATGTATCTTTCACTTACTTAGTTTCATTCTCTTGTCACTTTTCTGCAGTTGTTAAATAGATGAAGTGTCATGCCCTCAGCTGCTGTAAAAAAAAATATGCAGAATTTGGATGACAGATATAGAACCTGGCATGTTGAAGTCTGCCTTTGGAGTTACTGGAGTCTTATTAATATCTCTTCATAATTTTCTGCATTGTCCTACTGCAATTCTGCAAAAATGTTTACTAATGCTCATTTTGGTTTACTTATGCTCAGGTGGATAAACTGAAGTAGGTACAGTTATTACCACAGCCACAGAATAGTGTCTGAGATATGAAGCACTTGTTAGATTTTGCCACTTTCAAGTTAACCACTCTCCCTTTACTAAGGAAACTGACTTATACATTTTTATGATAAATCCCTTAAGTATTATCTATACATATTTTTAATAATTTTTATATGTTTATGTTTTTACAGCCCCAATAGCCAATATATTTATTTTTAATGTGAGATAATTAATATTTTTTGCTTAACAATGTTGCATATATTATTACAAGATCTTCTGAAATCAAACCTTTTGAAAGAACAGGCCTCTTAGCTTTGCCTTTGCTTAAACTTCTGTCATCCACTACTAGTCTTTTCTCACTGTAGTTGTCTGAGCACTTTACTAGTCTTGACCTTGCACTCAGCTTTCAGCTCCTGTGTGGCAGTTTGTTTTCTCCATGACTATAAAAGTTGCTTGTTTTATTACAGTTTATAGAAACATTTGAAATTTGTTGTAGAGTATTGTAGGACTGCGGTGATGTATCGTGTTTAAAATATAATTTATGGTAACAGTGTGATGTATCTTCATTATTCTGAAAGACTTCTGTATTTGCTGTGAAGGTATCATCCAGCCCTTGCCATGAAGCGGTGTGGTCCATAACACACTGATGTGTAATGGGATCTTTAGAAGAATTTACACAATTTTTGCAAAGAATGAAAATTAAGTGCCTAGAAATTCATCGTCCCTGAGCACTTACTGTATTTTTTATGTGCTTGATGTGTTTTAAATATAAATAAGCAACCCAATAATGTGTTTCAAAGTTCATCATTTTATGTGATGAACCCAAGGAGAGCTGATGGGATAGCAGCTACTAGAACTGCCCCATATGCCTGCCCAAACTTTTCTCTGTACTTTGAGCAAATATTAGTGCTACTTCTTGTTTAAAAAGGATGGTGAGTCTTGCTGATGGGCTTCTCCTGCAGTCATGGTAGTTTTTGGAAAATTGAATAAAAATAGGTCCGTGGGAGGGAATTTACATAAATGCAGAGGAATAAGATTGTTTCAAGTACACAGTTCTTGGGCTGAGGGAAGATGAATGTATTTAGAAGGTGTTTGCTCCAAGTTTTGCAGTTACAAAAAGTATTAAAAAAAAGACTTCAATGTGCAACCAAAATTGGGAGGGAAGAATATTTATTACAAGTTTCAGATCTGGAATGGATTTTAAGGAATACCTGGATCATATTTGACTTTAGCTTCAAACCCCTATTATTTCTTGACTAATTGACAAAAATATTGTAATGATTACTTTTAATATTTTTACACTGATTAATTGCATTTCAGCCACCTTTTTATAGTATGCTATAGTCCTTAGAATGATATGCATGATATACCACATTTATATAGATTAGGCAAGAAACACTGTGGGAAGTTTTAATAGAGATCATGTCATGCTATTCCTCTGCAAATATAGAAATACCTGAAGTTACTGATCACGTACTGCTGACTGAGTATTCCCAGAGGTGAAATGGTTTCTGAGACAAGTAACAAGTCTTTGTGGTAAAACAGAATTTCCTTTGAAAAGAAAACTTCAGGTTAATTTCTGCTTTTGTCAGTTGTGATCAAGTATATTGTTTCAGTTCTTTGAGCTATCTCAGAACTGAAGCTTAACACATTTCTAAAGTAAGAATTTATATGAAATCTTGTACAGTAGTGCATGTTTCTCAGATCTGTAAACTTGTGCTAAATTTTGAGGGAAAGAACACGTGCATATGCTGTTACTATTTCAGTGGCAAGCTGTAAATTATTGTGAATATAGTTTCTGTGCTGATGTTAATCGTGTTTGTCTAGTGCCTTTCTTTTGAAGTGCCAATGATTTGTCTCTTAAGATTTTCTTGAAGCAGAAGGGACTTAAGTTAACTGATTTTTAGTATGCAGCTTTGTAAGTATACACTCTGCATAGTTTGAATTAACACATTTTACACATGACTCTTGGGTTTTCATGAAAACATCTCACAGGAGCGTTTTCAGTACTGTGTTGCTGGAAGGAGAATGTATTTCTGGGCACATGGACAATGATGTACTGTAAATAAGGGCACTTTTTTTTGTGAATCTTGTGTACCTTAAAAGATGAAATAAAGTAGTTACAAACTGTTTACCACTAACAGCAAACTGAAATTCTTGTTCCCAGTCTTAAGGTATGTTACAAGTATTGGTCCTCACCTTTCTACTTGCTTAAGATAGTGTCAATCTTTCATTCCTTTTTTTATCTTTTACTATTGACCAGCATGTTAAATGTTGCATAAACTTCTGAAGTGATTGTATTTCTGAGACTTAATAGTTGTAACATTTAGTAAAGAGAATACAAGACTATTGGTACTGCAGAAAAGCCTGATGTGAATTTTGCATTGTATGGGTATGATTCTGTTGTGAATGGAGTGTATCTTTGCTATGTATTGAACATGAATTAAAAAACCCACAACATTTCTTTTAATACTTTACCTTGCTGTGGCAAAGATGCATTTGTTTATATGCATATATAAAAAAAAAAGTGTGTGTGTGTGTATCTATTTATAAATATTATATATGTGCATATAACTAAAGTAGTTCTTTTTCAAGTACTATATCATTGTATTAAAATTACAGGCTGGATTCTGCTACTTTTAAGTAAGAAATGTTTCTAATTCCCTATGATGTTTACAAAATAAAAAATTGATTATGTATGAATACTTCATGAACAATAAATATATGCCCCAAAAGTTTGATTTAAATGGAGTGTGCAATATTTGTGTAGAATTTAATTAGACTGTAAACAACAGGCATTTCACAATGTTTCAAAATACAGTTTTCCTGAAGTTTTTAAGCTTATTTGTATTACACCTTACTAGGCTACTAAGTGAGATCACTAGTGCAGGTATGCTTCAGTCCTGAGGTTCGACTGTATTTTGGCTAAGTAAAACTGAAGTTTACAGTTCATGAAGAAGTTTAAGTGAGATGGGTGAGCAAATCATGAGCCTCATGGGAGAATGGTTTACAGCTGAATATTGCAATGGTGTCAAAGAAGTACTTGTTGCATTCTGAAAGTATATTGTGGTGTTCAGGTATAAAAACTCTAGAAAGCCAGTGTTGCCATTTTGCATAAGTTTCAGTGATGTGAAATTACCTTCTC